AAGAAAAAAAAATTATGTAATTCCAAATGTCATGAAAATGTTAACTGCTCAAATAAATAAACTAAAAAGCATTTAATTTTTTATATAATTTATACCAAAAATTGTTAATAATACTTTTCGTTAATATTAGTTTAATTAATATAGTTAATAGTATTTTGATATAATTTACAAAAAATAAATATTTCTAAATGAAATAAGAAAAGTTTTTTAATCAAATTTAAAAATCTGTACTAAACGCTATAAGATACGCACACGCAACTCAGCGTGCCGATTGGCTAGCGTATGTTAGATGATCACTCCTCAACTTATTATTATCACTTTGCCCGACTAGGTGATAGCAGTATTCATAATGACCGGTCAATTTGATAAATTAATCAATATTTATCACACTGCCTGCCCTATTTGGTCATTATGTATAATGCCCGATTAATCATTTTGTCCATAATATGTACATTTCTAAATTTTATGGATTTTAAAGAAAATAACATAATTCATATTTACATGTAGTTATAATGAACTGGTTCTATTTATTTACAGATATCCAGTTGATAAAATTGATGGCAAATTAGTAATTTCCGGTTTCGAATTCGGAGGTGTCACAGTAGACGAGAAAAATGTGATTCGAGATTCCAAGGCAATTAGACTATATTATCCACTGGATCATGCCACTGAAGAAACGAAAGAAATGGCACTAATGTGGGAAAAACTATTCTAGAATCACTTTCAAAAATTCATATGAATAATATCAAAATTTATAAGTTCGTTGGTCAGTCTGTCAATAATGAAGTTAACCGAAATGGCGAAAATATTTTTTTTCTCATTATTATTGCTGCTCCAATAATGTTGATATTTTCGGCAGTTTCTTGCTTATCGACTGACGCACTGAGCAGTAAGCCCTGGTTGGGTATAGCTAGCTGTGCATCACCATTCTTAGCCACTGTTGCAGCATTTGGACTACTAATTTACTGCAAAATGGAGTATGTCCCATTGAACGTTATGATTATTTTCCTGATGTTAGGTAAGTCTTATGACAATCTTATATTACAAAGTAAATATATATAGAAAAATCCCGTATATTGCGTTTAATTTTGTCAGGAAAAACAAAGCAATAATGAAAAAGAATCATTCATCTTGTCAATGGTAACTTCATCGCTGAAGTTGCTTTGTCGTTGCCATGTTGAAGTTCTATCATTTATTAAAAATACGTAATTTTTTAATTTAAAAAATATTATTAGCGTATTTATGTCGAAATTATATTTAGAATTTTTGTTAATATTTCAACGTCTTTTGTATAATGAACTTGAAATATCTAAACTGAATTTATTGCGTATTTGTAGTTTACAGTAGTAAAATTGTAATAGTTTAGAGCATATTTTAGAATTTATAAGTTTGACAATAGGCTGATTGATAAATTCTGATTAATAAGTTTATTGAAAAACTGGCTATTTTAAAATACAAGAATTAATAAATATAAAATGATTTCAACATTTTTATTTAGTGTTCTAGAATAAATTATAGACAGCTACACCTGTGTGGATATGACTAAAATGTTTAAACAATACGGGTGCTGTAGGTCTTTAATTGAAGCATACGTCTCGAGATGAACATTTTTGTTACGATTTTTCTACTTTAAATTTGTGATACGTTGAATTAAAAACTGTTATTCAAAAGAAATATAACATACGTAAATGTGTAATGTTAAGTACACTTTTCCATAAATATAAATTATGCATGTTTTCACTGTATACTGTAATTCTTTCTAAAAAAATTCAGTTCATTAGAAGATATCAATATAAAAATATTGATATCTTATTCTCTGTTTACTACTATCAACAGGTTATTGTTATCTTAAGCTGCAAGTAACAAAGTGATTGTAATAACCAGATTTCATTAAATCTTCAAATTGTGGTTAAGTTTCAAGAATCATAGATCAATTTTTTACCACTGAATTATCAATATTTTATTTTTCTTAAATACTAATCACCTTTGAATTTTTAACCAAATTAACGAATTTCGAACTTGCTTTCATACAGTCTATAAAGTTAAACTTATTGTCAGCATCTACTGCAACACGCTGTTAATTTTTACATCAGACATACGACATATACAAATTAGCATGTATGCTTACCGCTGCATTGCATTAAAATCAAAAATAGCCAAAAATCGATTTCCTACGTTGCAGTCATATTGCATTTAGTTATTGTATAGGATATGCAAAATACTCAAATAATATGTGTCTACCTTTCGTTATACGAGATATTTGTTTCTCAAAAGAAATAAATATTATATTATATAAACAGTGACCATTAGAACTTTAAACTATCATACATATGCTGTTGCAAATTTGCACATATTAAAATAACGTCGTTAAAACATATAATTAATTCTAGATGTATATTTCAGGAATTGGAGTAGACGATGCCTTTATATTGATAGCTGCGTGGAGAAGAACTGACGTTAACGCTTGTGTTCCAGATAGAATGAAAGAAGCGTACACAGAAGCTGCTGTCTCTATCACTATTACGTCTCTGACCAATTTGTTTGCGTTTTGTATGGGATTTCTGACACCTTATAAATGTATTCATATATTCAGTGCGTATGCAGCTCTTGCAATCCTGTTTGACTACATTTATCAGTTATTGTTTTTTGGAGGACTCATGGCTTTAGATGGATACAGAGAAAAGTATAATCTGCATTCTGTTTTCTGCTGGACAATTAACCGAAATCACCAGAAAATTCAAAACAAAAAGCAATTCGAATCGACAAGCAAGGAAAAACAAAATATTTTTATGGCATTTTTTGGCAATGTTCTCGGCAAAATGCTGGGAAAACCAATCGTTAANTGCATCACCATTCTTAGCCACTGTTGCAGCATTTGGACTACTAATTTACTGCAAAATGGAGTATGTCCCATTGAACGTTATGATTATTTTTCTGATGTTAGGTAAGTCTTATGACAATCTTATATTACGAAGTAAATATATATTAAAAAATACCGTATATTGCATTTAATTTTGTCAGGAAAAACACAGCAATTATGAAAAAACATCATTCATCTTGTCAATGGTACGTTCATCGCTGAAGTTGCTTTGTCGTTGCTTTGTCGTGTTTTATCATTTATTAAAAATACAAAAATTTTTAATTTTGAAATTATTATTAGGGTATTTATGTGAAATTATATTTATTAAGATTATCTTCGTTTAATAAACTTTCGATAGCATTGCGAACATTGTCTAAATACAGTTTAATCCGGTTATTACAATCACAAATAATAATATCGATCGCCGCGAAAATTCATATTGAATCGATTTCTTCATAAATTTTTTCCGTAATAGGCTATACATTTTATTACAACTTTTATAATATTATAGCTATGTTATTATAACATTAACTATACATTTTATTTTTTACATAATAAGCTGTGTGGATATTTGATTTTCCGTCGGATGAATAATTATTTTTTCACAAATTAAAGACAAAGTCGCTCTAAAAATATATTTCAGACGATCAACATTTTTATTTAGTGTTCTAGAATAAATTATAAACAGCTACACCTTCTGTGTGGATACGACAAAAATGTTTAAACAATACGGGTGCTGTAGGTCTTTAATTGAAGCATACGTCTCGAGATGAACATTTTTGTTACGATTTTTCTACTTTAAATTTGTGATACGTTGAATTAAAAACTGTTATTCAAAAGAAATATAACATACGTAAATGTGTAATGTTAAGTACACTTTTCCATAAATATAAATTATGCATGTTTTCACTGTATACTGTAATTCTTTCTAAAAAAATTCAGTTCATTAGAAGATATCAATATAAAAATATTGATATCTTATTCTCTGTTTACTACTATCAACAGGTTATTGTTATCTTAAGCTGCAAGTAACAAAGTGATTGTAATAACCAGATTTCATTAAATCTTCAAATTGTGGTTAAGTTTCAAGAATCATAGATCAATTTTTTACCACTGTATTATCAATATTTTATTTTTCTTAAATACTAATCACCTTTGAATTTTTAACCAAATTAACGAATTTCGAACTTGCTTTCATACAGTCTATAAAGTTAAACTTATTGTCAGCATCTACTGCAACACGCTGTTAATTTTTACATCAGACATACGACATATACAAATTAGCATGTATGCTTACCGCTGCATTGCATTAAAATCAAAAATAGCCAAAAATCGATTTCCTACGTTGCAGTCATATTGCATTTAGTTATTGTATAGGATATGCAAAATACTCAAATAATATGTGTCTACCTTTCGTTATACGAGATATTTGTTTCTCAAAAGAAATAAATATTATATTATATAAACAGTGACCATTAGAACTTTAAACTATCATACATATGCTGTTGCAAATTTGCACATATTAAAATAACGTCGTTAAAACATATAATTAATTCTAGATGTATATTTCAGGAATTGGAGTAGACGATGCCTTTATATTGATAGCTGCGTGGAGAAGAACTGACGTTAACGCTTGTGTTCCAGATAGAATGAAAGAAGCGTACACAGAAGCTGCTGTCTCTATCACTATTACGTCTCTGACCAATTTGTTTGCGTTTTGTATGGGATTTCTGACACCTTATAAATGTATTCATATATTCAGTGCGTATGCAGCTCTTGCAATCCTGTTTGACTACATTTATCAGTTATTGTTTTTTGGAGGACTCATGGCTTTAGATGGATACAGAGAAAAGTATAATCTGCATTCTGTTTTCTGCTGGACAATTAACCGAAATCACCAGAAAATTCAAAACAAAAAGCAATTCGAATCGACAAGCAAGGAAAAACAAAATATTTTTATGGCATTTTTTGGCAATGTTCTCGGCAAAATGCTGGGAAAACCAATCGTTAAAACTATCGTAATTGTTCTGTTTATGGTTTATCTTATAGGTGCAATATATTGCATGCAATTCACGCAAGAAGAAAATGATATAGTAATCTTTTTTCCAAACTTTTCTTATATGTTTACATATGCATATATTGAAAATAAGTATTTTTCTAATTATAGTCATCAAGTTCAAATAATTATTAATCAGTCATTAGATTATTCGAATGTCACTGTCCAAAATGACATAGAAGATCTCCTGCAAAGTTTCGAGTCTGCTCCATTTATATCCGATTCGTCGACCACAGAAAGTTGGCTGAGAGAATTTCTGGCATTTACTAAATCTCCAGTTGCAAAGTTTTCGCTTTCTGGTTACAATCTCAGTGATTCTGATGACTTTTTGAGTGCATTTAAAAATGTTTTCTTGAAAGTAAACGTTGCAGGCAGATTTAAAAACGATGTTATTTTTAATAAAGAAGGCGATAAAATTACTGCTTCGAGATTTCTAATATCCAGTTCTGATCTAAGACGTGGAATTGATAAAAGATCATTTCTTGAAAATGTAAGGAAAATTGCCGACAACAGCAAAATTCCTGTAATTGTATATAATTGTAGATTTAAGTGTTATGACGTCTATGTTAATATTTCTTCAAACTGCGTAAAATCGATTTGTGCTGCAGGGGGAACAGTAATTATTGTGTTTCTTTTATTTACTCCGAACATATTGTTTCTTTTGTCTGTTGTCATGACTATTGTTTCTATTCAGGTTGGTTTAATTGGATACATGTCTTTATGGAATGTCACTGTTAGTCCATCTTCACTAATAATATTAGTGATGTGTACGGGATTTTGCGTAGATTATACAGTACATACGACTTACGCGTTTCTCAATTGCAAAAAGAAAACACCAAATGAGAAAATCCGAAGTTGCTTATACGCTGCTGGATATCCTGTCTTACAGGGATGCGTAACTACCGTTTTGGGTGTTTCGGTAGCGTATTTTGGACCATCGGAATCATTTGTGATATTTTTTAAAATCATATCTTTAATGGTAATTTTCGCTTTATTTCACAGTTTTTTTATTGCCCGTAGTTCTCAGCTTTTTGGATTCTTTTTCGTTTTCTATGTTTAAGAGGAAAAAACATAAGTTTGAATGTAATGAAATTGTTTCGAACGAAATCGATTCTTTAAATTCTGAAAACACAATTCAGAAACATGAATGTTAACAATTGAATTTGAATTTATTCAATTGAAGCAGTTTAAATAAAAAAAAATATCAAATATGATCATGTAATATTTCTATTGCCCGTAGTTCTCAGCCTTTTGGATTCCCTTTCGTTTTCTATGTTTAAAAGGAAAAAACATAAGTTTGAATGTAATGAAATTGTTTCGAACGAAATCGATTCTTTAAATTCTGAAAACACAATTCAGAAACATGAATGTTAACAATTGAATTTGAATTTATTCAATTGAAGCAGTTTAAATAAAAAAAAATATCAAATATGATCATGTAATATTTCTATTTCTTTTATGTAATTTTTAAAACTTTGATGTATTCTCATGTTATTTGCATATTGAATAAAATATCAGTGTAGATTTTACAAAAGTATTTTACTTGCAGCTTTGGTAACACCGCTTGTTTTTTATTTACTCTCATATTCTTATAATATAGCAAAAAGCGATATAAAAAATAAACTGAAATAAAAAAAAAATTATATATACTGAATTAAAATTAAAATATTCGTTTCAAAAGTCAAATGAAAACTTTTTAGGTAATAGTTAAATTAACAATGTTCAAAAAGAAACACAGTCAGTTTACCCTGTGACGCTTTAATAAGTTACCAGATCAGATAAGATAACATACTCATCTGATCTGGTGTCGTTCGCAAGTTTTTTCCTGTATATAATTTGCATGCTTCTACAGCAGGATCCGCAGTGACAAGTATCTCACATGGTAATGGTATCTGTTAGGGTGACAAAAAATTTCAGGAGCTAACACGTGTGCTCCTGTTGATAAGTTGGTGTTCACATAGATTCTATATATACGTCGATGCAAATTTTTAGATTATTTTAAACTAATTGTTGTCTATTATTTAGATACAAAAATGTCGACATTTTGTATTTTGAATTTTTTTCTATGAGATATCAGTTATATTATATAGAATATACTTTCTGATATTGTAATCCTGTCACATTTGGCTATTCGTGTTCTTGGAATTGTTTGATACCTGTAAACTCAAAAAACAAAAAATCTGCTCCTGGAAATGTATGTGTATGTGTGTTTTGGCGTCTATTTCATATAATAAAGAAGTTGCGGCCGAAGTTCAAACGTTAAACTTGAATGGCAAGCGGAAGTACACGTTTGACGTTTGAACTCCATATAAAACACGTTGCGCCACACGTTCGCGCACTGTCTCATGGGATATTGTCGACAAATGGCGGAAATGCTTAACAATGACGAATATTACCAGCGAAGATAAATAAATAAATTAAACTGTTTTAAAGTATTTATAGAATGTTTAATTACACTAAATTATTATTTTTAAATTAGAATTTCCATACATTTCATCATGAAAATTGCTTATTAATATAAGTGTCAGGAAAAAGTAATGTTGCATTTGTACTGTAATTTTTTTATAGTAAGCTATTTTTTAGACTATTTTTTATTTTTTGTCTAAAATTTAAAAATATAGCTGGCTTCCCAGGTATAATTGGGGCAATTGATGGGTGCCATATTCCTATTAAAGCTCCAAGTGAATCAGCGGAAAAATATGTAAACCGGAAGAATTTTCATTCGGTAATTTTGCAGGCAGTCTGCAACCATAACTTAGTTTTTACAGACTGTTATTGTGGCTTTCCTGGTTTTGTTAATGATGCCAGAGTTTACAGAAATTCTGAAGTGATTCAGAAACTTAGTGATTCTTCCTTATCAGATTATCACATTGAGGGAGATGCTGCCTACCCACTTGTTGTGTCATTAATGGTACCATTTAAAAATAATGGTCACCTAACTGCTCAAATGCATACATATAATAATAAGCTGTCAAAAAGCAGAATTGTTATTGAGAGGAACTTTGTACTATTAAAATAAAGATTTAGACGGTTAAAATATTTTAATGCAAATGAAACATCAATATTGTTTCTCTACATATTATCAGCCTGTGTACTTCATAACATCTGTATGATGGCAGGGGATGATTTTGACGAATTTGATACAGTTAGTTGTGATGATGAAACTCTTGAAACTGAATTATCTAATATACAATATAACAATAGTGCTGTTCAAAGAAAAATACAACATATTTTTGATAGTTACTAAGCTGTCAGAAATCATGTTTGATAATTACAGTATTTCTGTACAGTACTTTCCCCGACAAAAGTATGATGTAGTCCTATTGTTAGATCGTACGGTAAAAGGCACCACGCTAATTAAAAATAATTATTTAGTGTTATTAAACTGTGAGATTCTGGACACACTCCCCTCTAATTGAAAATCTACGTCAAATACATAAATTTGTAGAAGTAATATTTCTGATTTAAATGAAAGAATTTTAAGTTAAAAACGAAGGAAACTAGTAAAAGTCACTTCCTTCTCAACGGAAGTGTGACATCCTTCTTGTTTTCCCTTATCTTCAAAAATTTAGAGTCACATACAGTCCAGTAACTCTGTAAACTCTACTCTTCCCAAACACGTGAGAATAATACAACTTTCCCATTGGTGAAAAACATCAAAAAAGGGGATTCTTTAGTATCATTCGGGAGTACGCCAGAAGATCCTAAGGAAGATAGACGTATTCCATATAAGCTCCCCACGGCCAATGCCCATATTAACTGCCGAAGTTCATACTAAATTTATTTCTAAGTTACTAAGATAAAGAAAATGATTAATGAAGTGCCGACAGAGAATTAAAAAGGGACAAGAACGAAACTAAAAGAAGTAACCAAAGATAAGGACATTCGCATCTACTTGCATACAGAAGAAAAGAATATATTTTGAGGTAGTATGATTTTAACTGGAATTGTGATCTCTCTCTCTCTTCGCGATAGTATAAATAGATATATTCGAAGGCCCAATTTGTATATCTTACATCTTGTCTATTAAATTTTTGATATTTTGTTTTTAAATATGTGTTCTTTTGTCTCTCTATATCTGATAAAGAATAATCTCTTAGTTTCTCCAAATTTGTAACACGCGAATTAACACGCGTTCGTTGATAAAGGGTTTATCTGTCGTCAGAATCCTTGACACCTGTTAGAAACTTCAAAGTCGATATCCTGACGAGATCTAGAACTCACCACCTAGATCTATCTTTTTAAACATTTAATTAAAGCCTTCTTTAAAAAGTTTTAAATGAGCCAATATAACGATTGTGTGTCAGTAAGTGACATAAGTTAAATTTCTATGCCCTTGACTTCTCACAAAACGTCCTATAAATACTTTAAAATAGTTTAATTTGTTTATTTACCTTCGCTGGTAATCCTCAATGTTAAATGTATCCTCCATTTTATCAACAGATTCCGGCAATTCAATGCGCGACGGTTCACTGAGTCACGTAATGTTGTGAACGTGCGGCGCAAGGTCGATGAAGGCATATAATGATTATTTATACCATTTTCTGGTATAAATAATAAATTCATATCAATAATAAATTTTTATTACAAATAAAAATAATTTATTGTTAATTTAAAATCATCGCTAGGGCGCATCTAGTGGACATTTTAGGCATACCGTTACAACTTACGGATATACAAATACACAATCAATTGCTTGTGTGTAATCAACATTTACTGGAGCTGACATATATTCATTAATACCCGATGGAGATCATTTGTATGAACATACGCCTCAGATTTATTTGTTTGGCTAGTGTTCTCAGTAATCAAACAAATTTAGCTGTGCCTGTTACAGCACTCACCCTTACTGACAACCGTCCTCTGTTCTTGTGGTGTGCTCGCATCTTTGGACCTTCTGTACTTCACAACTTAGATTTTCTGTGTATCTCTGGCATTCTTCAGCATCCTAACACCTGCCTCTAAAAGAAACTCCATGCCCCTTTGTGTGTAATTAGTTGCATCAAAAATTTGAGTGCTCGGTGTCTCATTTATAGATACTTGCACCAAACTGGTGAAACAGAACAAGGGACAACTTGTTGTTGAGTGTATGTGTTCTACTTGTTTTGCCTAGTTTAGTGAACAGGACACCTTTCTTTTGCTAACATGGCTTGTGACAGAGGGACTTCTTCGGTTGAACTTATGCTTGCTGCGTTTACAATACTGGAAGAACTGAAGGCATATCTCGCGGATAATGGCAACGCGAAAATTTGTACGACACGGCACACAAAATTCATTGTTCATAGTGTCAAGAGAATTATTGACCTGTATGACAACAATGTTGTTCTCCAGCGTTTTGAGGATTTAACAGGAAAAATAGAAAAAATATTAACTGGTGAGCAAAACAAAAAGTTAATTGAAAAAGAGAATGAAGTGGTATTTAAAATAAATGGCTTGGCAATCAAACGGAATAATAACAAACTTGAACAAATTGTGAGACCCGAAAGGCCCTGGGTCTAAATTAATATTTTATTAATAACGTTAAAATAATGTCACCCAAATATTCCTTCATTTTTGGTGAGAAAAATACTGTTTTAGAGTGGGAAAAGGCAGATAACAGATGTCACTTCCTTTCACTGAAGTTAGAACATCCTCTGACTTTCCCTTATCTGGTTAAAATCCTGCTCAAATGAGAAATGGTGAACCCTCATTCATTCCCCTTTCATCCGTTCTCATGAAAGAGTTACTGGCCGATGATTGGTCGAAATTCAGAAGAGATACAGGAAACTTGTCAGAATTCGGGGAGTTGAACGACAGATCTGAAAGCGTCCAAACTCCACATACATTTTCCTTCTGATGACCAACGCCCTTAGACGAGTCACTTAGACTAAGTCCCGAGTCTGAACTTAGAAATTATACTTTGATTTTGTGCACATATTGATCTCCCATACGAAGAAGTAAATGAACTTTATCTACAAGGTGTCCCTTACCTACAGAGAAGAAGACGAACGACAACTAAAACAGGTTGTATGTTTTTAACGATTTTGTGAGCTCTCTCTCTCGATCGCGAATAGGGTATAATATAAGTATAGCTATCTCCCGATTTGTATAATATTTGTCGTAATTCTATCTCTTGTTCAGTAAGATTTTTGTATGAGTTTA